TCTTCGTCGCATGCGATTTTGTTTTTTCATTTTACTTTCTCGCCTTAAAAATTCTTTGTAAGAAGAGAAAGTTATCTAATCGTGCACCAGAAAACGAGGAAATGTCGACAGAAAAAATCTTATTTCCGGGTTCTTGTAACGAAAAAGTGGATAAATATTTTTGCTAAATTTAGGGGGAAATCCTCTAACTCGTGGTGTAGCCATAATCCATGTTTTGTTTGTTCGTGATACAGAAAATTTGATTGACGGCAAAACGTCCGTCTGTGGTCAACCTAGCGGCGGCTAACCCGTTCAGCCGATATTCTCCAAAATTGATATTCACCAATCGATAAAGCTGATGTTTTAGGTTCTGGAATTTGAAACCGGAAATTTAATTTTGAAGGGTACTTTAGATGAAACCTCTCGGACCTTTTCAAAATTCTCCAAAAAATGTCTCAACTTTTTTCTATTTAACTTTGTTGTTCAATAGTACGAAAGAAACTTGAGTGGTGCAGGTCTCATGTTCGGTGATATCCCTGATTTTTCGAAAATTGCAACAATAATTTTTAAAAGTGCAAATTTAAAGATGGAGATTTTTGGCTCAAAGACTGTTGTGCAAATAAACCTTTTTATAAAAGGTCATGTATAATTTTCTCTGTAATTTCGGAGTAGTTCTCATGCTACATCTATTCCAGTTACTTTAATCGGAAGGCTTAAAGGTTATGATTCTGTTTAAGTCAGTGTTGCATGATTACCGGAATTCCTGCCTGATTGGCTGTTTTTCAGTGTAGTCAGCGAGGGGGGGGTAGTTTGAGTGGTTAGCGGGAAATTTGGTCATAAATATGTGACCAATTTTTAAACAAATTATACGTGTTGTTATGTATCATTTCCCTGTGTTATTTGAAAAAATAGGCGGCATTTGTCCGCGTGCCTTCAGGGGATAAATGTGTTAATTTGCCTCTGGGAATGAATTAATGAAATAAAGTATTATTAAATACTTTATCTTTGAATACTTAGAGGAAAGGGTTAAATGACTGTCAGGCAATTTATTCCATTCCGTAATTGTTTTGTGAGAGGAGATACATTTTTCAACATCTGTTCTCTGAGCCCTCAACTGTATTTTGTGCGTATGATCCCCTTAACTAAAGTACATGGATGTACCTAGTCGGCAGAGATTTATTTCTATGCTGCATAACCGGCATATGTTTTACATATGGCACAGTCTTGTTTTAAGCCTCCCGATTTATGTCTTCGTTTTACATTCTTCCTGTTTGTCTGGAAAGTAAAATACACACTCGTTTCAGTATTCTATTAGGACTTTAAAGAAATATTTATTATACATCAGCAGCAAAGCTGATATACGTACATATATAATCACACAGTCCTTCACATCATATATCACAATTCGTAGTTTATCGTAGCGTATATCAGGTCTCTTCAATTTCTCGTTAGGCTTCATCCTGTTTCCTCTTGTATGACGTTACTTGAATCCCATTTCTCGCAGACACGTGACTGTGAGGCAGGGCGTTACAGGCATTTTCTATTCTGTTGGCAATAAATTGGCACGATGTCCGCACTCTATTTCTGCAATCTGCGTTGATATCCTCGAAGTCTATCATCTGGCCGACTAACGAAACTTTCCTAAAATTCCTGTGCATCCTACTCCCTGTTAAGAATCTTGAAGGTCTCGATGAGGCCGCTTCTTTCTCTTCTGCGCGCAGTGCCGTGAGTCCAAATTTTTGACATCATCGTAGTCCAGTACTCCGTGGCAGTTTAGTTATCTTTCGCTGCATGGTTCCAAGTGCTGAATGTCCTTTTTGTAATATGGTGTCTATGCAACATTGACATATTCCTAAATTGGTCTCACATAGGTAGTATAGGCTTGTCTAAATAGTGGGACAGTTATGTTAAGAAATGCCTTCCAGATCTGGCGAGCGTAAGCATTGGCCTTTCTGGTTACGGTAACGACTTGTTTCTCCCACTTGAGATCCTGTGATATGATCACCACTAGGTGCACCTGCGGTTGCTCAACCGTCTCCTGCTAGGTGTATTATGGATTTTTTGAATGCCCTTTTCTCAATTAATATGAAATTGATACAATATCTCGTTATAATTACACATTTGTACTTTTTAAGTAATAAATGAATTTACTAATAAATAATTATGTTATAACAAGATTGGTCCCCTTTTAAAACTTGTGAAAGTGCTAGTTTCCATTTCACACTTCACGCATTTCATCACTTATTTTCATCTTATTGTTCCCAACTTTTCTATTACGAAAACAGAGACTTTTTCCTTAACGATATCTATTATTCAAAGACAAATCTGAAAATAAGGTCATGAGGAATTTTTTGAAAATATAAGTAGTTTTCGTGGAAACTTTCGTATATTACACTCAACTGTAACACAATTATTTTCTCAAAAATGGTTGCAAAGTTTTTCTTTAAGTTTTTTCCTCGGGAGAGGTTTTTGACAAAAAAAATACTTTAAATTATGAGTCGTATGATTTATTATCAAACATTTAATCGAACGAAAACGTTCGAAAGACATTTTATCAAAATCCCATGTTTTTCTTTAAACTTTTTGAACGGAGTGTGCTATTTGCACTGAAGAATATGACATGAACGCCCTGTTGATTTATTCTCTTGATGCTTCAAAAGTTTAGTAAAAAAATATGACTCACGTCGGCAATATTTTTATATTTCGGACGTTTTTATGGATTATTGCATTTGTGAGTATACGTGCTTCAAATGATTTTCAATGACGTTTCTCGATAAGTCCAATGTTTTCAGTAAAAATGAGCTAAAACGTATAGCTATCAGAAGCGCTCAAACGACATTTTTTAAAAACTTGCTCCAATATTTTCAATGAAAATTTGCATACAGAAGAAAGTATAAAGCTTCTATAGGCTAATATTTTTTTGTTATTTAAGGTCGCATAAACATTGAGGCCAATAGCGACCACTATTGGACTTGATGGTATGGTAACTGTGAAGATGCATTATTTGGGACTACTATAGGAAAGGACGAACACAAATACAGCCATGCCCGAGGCTATCGTTCGGTCCGAGGCCGCTACTGTGTTAACGATCTCGGCCATCCTCATTGGCTCTATAATCTTCTTATAGCAATGTTTCATTTATATAATTGGGAATCGAAGAATTGAGAAAATGTGAAATAATTACTTTTATGCGGCAATAGGTGGCAGCTGGGATGAGGACAACGCTGAAAATCTAGCCCACACCAAATGCTCGTATATTAGAAAATGATTAGTACGAGAATAGCTGTACCATAATCTAGCACCTCTAAGTTTGTAGTTAAGGGTATGCACTGCACAGAAATACATTGACGCATTGCGGGTTGCACGCATACTTGCTTATTTGATTATACTATATGGAGGAAAATGGTTTCATTTGAAATCACGAATGAGTTCTCGAGTTTAGTCATAGAGTAATGATATATACCTCCTTAGTCTATGGTTCAATCTGTCTCTATCAAAACAAACTAAAAAAAGTGTAAATAAATCGATCTTGATAATAATACAGTGGGAAATAACATTTAGAAAGATATTTATCTAATTTAAAATAGGATTACGGAAGATAATCACAGAGAGAAGAGTGAATGCGCAGTCTGTTCCTGAAGTAAATAGAGAAAACTCGAGAAAACCATAGGAGACATAGAGGATTTCTACAAAAGTCGTTCGGAAATGTTTCTCTACAACTGGACGATTTGATTCTTTAAATATTTAACAATGTAGGCTTTCAGGAGCATTTAGACATGTTTATCTTATAAAATCAGTATACAGGTTGATTAGTTTTTCATATTTTTATAAAATCCTGACAACTGGCTGTGCTACTGAGCCATACATCTGAACTCGCCTGAGCAACCTCCAGCATGTTGCGTCAGGAAACACCTTAAATAAATCGAGCGATTATTAAATAGAAAGCAAACAGGATGAAGAATAACCCTAATTTTAATGTAGCATAGTACTTTTTAATCAGTTAGGTTGGAGTAAAATTAATGGAATGAGCTCTTTCATTTTCCAAATTTACTAATTTAGTTTTTACTACTGACTATCAATACTTAGTACTATGCTCTCAAAACTCAAACATGACTTAATATTTGTTTTAAATGTCACTAATGATCTGTATGTCAATGCATTCCTTAATCTATCTAGTTTGTCTATTTTCTTGGATGAATAATAGGTGTTCTTTGTATTCACTTCACCAATTGAAAACATCTAAACAGTGAACACATTATTTTACTTGTATTCTTGCATCCCAGCTAAAGGCTTTACTAAATTTTCTTCAGAATTGTTTCCTTTACAAGCATCAACTTTTCAAATAAATATCTACTTTAAATACTTAATTGTCAATAGAACATTTTTCAATGATGATGTTAAAAGAATAAATGAGATGGGTATGAAAACTGTACTGTAGATACATAAAGAAATGAAACTTCACAAGAATATTTATTTATGACTTTGATCAATGGGGCGGGGTTGTTAATTCCATTACATAATAATATAAAAGCTTACTTTAGAACTGTATTTCTGCACTGATTTAGCAGTTCCTTTGTGAGCTTCAGAACAGACTCTCTTAAAGTCTTACTTCCCTTTGCATACTTGATATTAAAACTAGCATAATACTTATCATACAAAAACTAAATCCAATGTAATGTTTATAAAAAAAGAATTTTTACAGAAGAGCACATTGCTTTGCACTCCCTTATTTCAATTTTCTCATGGCGCACAATATTTTCATTGGACGAAGACAACACAAAAGGAATCACAGAAGCCATTTACAAGTTAGCAAACTGCAAACAAATGAATGGAAGGAGAGTCTAATAGGCTTAAGGATACAACGATCACAGAACCTTCAGTTGTATTGACAGCACTAGCTGTCACTTTGGCTCATTCTTATAAAAATCACTCTATAGTACAAATGCAGATAATTATAGTGTTGTCCTACAATCCTATAATTATGTTATTTTCTCAACAAGGCAGCATGAAATAAAACAAAATATATCCATTAATAATTTTTATTGTAAGACAAACATTTTAAACAATGACGGTTAAAAAATACAATTTACTTAAAAATTATCTAAAGTCATTGTTATCAGATCTATATAAATGTTCTTTGGCGCAATGCCACTTACATGTTATTTTCAATAACAAGTGAAGGACATTCTGAATTATGACAATTAATGTACGCATGGAAGCACTAGTGATTAAAAAGAAAAATATAAATAATTTTCACATGAGAAGAGACAGATTTATAGTGACAACAAATAATATACAATGTTAACAATAATGAAATAAAATATCTTATGAAATAAGGAAGGAAAATGATTTCATAAAAACTTATAAAATTCAGGATATGAAACCAAAAGTACAACTACTTAAAAAAATTCACTAATGAAGTAAAAGAAAAATATGTAAAATTACAGTTGAATAAGAAGAAACACAACACTGAATCAAGTGATTCTGTAACAAGAAACTGATGACACGGAAAATATAATCTACTTTTTCTACATTAAAATTAAATATACATAAGGTACTGTTTGAACAATATCTGCACACACAAGAAATGGAATATGTAATGACTAGTAAACCATTATTAGTTTTCAAAAGAAACTTTTACAACTTGAAAATTTAATAAATATATAACTTAACAACACATGGCATTTTAAAATTTTTTAAAATTGCATTTGATGGAATCTTTCAAATACAATTAAAATAATTTATTTGAGCATAATATTATACAATAAAGTGTATAAAGCATATTTTTGAAGTGACTAGGGAATAAATTCAAAACAATTGAAAATGAGAAAAAAAATGGTAACTTCAAAGATTAGATAGACACAAAAAAATGAAGATGGATCAATTGTACATACAGTACTTAAACACACACAAATATACGTATATACACATACATACATAGTATATATTTATTTACATAAATGACACTTCTAAGTTGCTTTTAAATGTAATGAATAGCTATATATGCACAAAATATGCATATAAATTTATAATGTAATATAAAAATTATAAAACATCACAAGAAATATTTCAATATGAACCTATAAATGCGTTCAAAACAGGCACAGATATGGCCTATGTAACATATACATAGCATCTAGCCATATTCTGAACTAACAGTCAAACTCAGCTCCCCAGCATCGATGTGTGTATCATGATACCATTGCCTTGTGTCCAGAAGCACTAGAAATGCAAAGAAACATCTTTAAATCATTCATTATTATAAACAATTTTAATAGATTTATTAATTTATACAGAGCTGGAGTAGACCTTCAGAAAAGCAAAATTGATTGAACTGGGGACAGTAGAACCTCCATTACCTGGGATTTAAACATCAGGTAATCCAATTATTCAGGCTCTGTTATGAACATGATTGGATGAATTTAAAAAAATAAATATGAAAATAAAAAAACAAAAAAGATACAAAATAGAAAAGAAATACTACTAAATAAAAAAGAAAATATTACTGATTATTTCTGGGGGAAAAAGTAGTAGTGCTAAATTGATGAGAATTACTATTAAATTATAGCAGATTATTTACGTAATATATACGATAATTTATAGCAATTCACAGAGAAACTTATCTTAGGCCATTAATTATCAAAGTGGAAGCGTGCCCCCCCCCCCAAGGGATGTGAAGAGGCAAGTAAAGGGGTATCCGGATGAATTCAGCCACGGTTTACTCGAGCCTTCCTAATGTCTTGGCATGTTAAGAAGATATAAATTTTGTCAGAGTTGACTTGTAGCATTGTGTGATTTGTGACATAAGATATTGTTCAAGATAAAATGTGAATATTTGAAAGAAAACCCTTAAAACTTGAATTCGTATGTGAAGAAACTGAAGTAGGTGTTATTTTGACCCTTACCACTGTTCTAGTGTTAAACAAGAAACTCACTTGAATTAAAAGAATGGGCAAAACTGTTCTCCCATGGATTTAGTTTTCACAAAATATTACTTGCAGATTAAATTGATTAGAAGAGTTAATATCTCTTTTTAGCTGCATAGATTTCAAAACTTCACAAAAATGTACTCTTAATTTTTTAATATACTTTCTTAAATTAGCGGCATACTCCACTTAAAAATGTCAGCTCATTTTCAAGGACCATGAACCTTCTCTTGGCTACAAATATCTTTGACCTCTTGACGTTCACTTTTCATCCCCCATTGTACTGAACTTCAAGGCCAACTAGATGTAATGCTCCAAATGCAATTCACCTTGTGTGGATAAGGCTGCCTTTAAATTTCCATCAGATTGGTCTTTTACACACAGAGGACTTCACCGCCCATTAACAAGTTCCCATAAAGGTAAAGGGGGATTTCTACTCTTTTTTAGAAAGCTACCGTCTATGCAGAGCAGATGTGCTATTTCATAGACACATTTATTAAAATGATCTGGTTTAGAAATAAACCAAAATTAAACCCTTGCAAACATACTGAATACATATCACTTTATTAAGTATCTAGACAATGCATCCTGCAGTAGAAAAATACTGAATCAACAGGACAACAACTCTATGCCTCTGATTCGTATTCTATTACAGTTCTAAATTGCTTGATGTGACAGCCTACAAGAGGTCAAACTACAAATTGTACCCGTCAGCTAACAGAGGGAATATTTACAAGAATGTATAATCAAGGTGGCTTGTTTGAGCAGGTTCTACTGTATTATTTTTAAACATTTACACTTAAATTACTTTTTAATTCATTTGAACCAATAAAAAAATGAATAATCAATTATCAAGAAGTTTTCAATTTTCCATGGTCACTGATGATTTTTCCTGTAATTGCCCCACACAATCGAGGTATATAAATGTTTGGTCGCAATACCTCATTAATTTATAAAGTGAGTAACAATAAATACCATGAGAACGAATAAAATAACAAAATTTGATGATAAATTTCGAAGATAAAAAAACTTCCAAGTTATTTTACACAACAGAACATACCTATGTCCCCAGGATCCACTCGGAACGTCAGTGGAGAACACACATCTTCACAATCTGGAGGTGGAACCAACCGCCAGGTTTTATGTCCACGTATCTGAGCTTGCCACATCAAACGGCTAATGTAGTCAATCTGAAAAACAGGAATTTCTTGTCCTAATCACAGAAAAGTTTTAATAGTACTTTATTAAGTACTCATCTAGGCAGTAAAGAGACAAAACATATTTGGTCCAGTGTGAATGTTTTGCAATAATGTTTATACTATGAAAATAGTTTCACATTGGAACACAACTTCAAACAGCCAGCCTGTGAATTGTGAGTTACAGCATCCTAGGCTTGGAACTATAGGAAATAAATATGTAATAATTAACAAACAGAAAGGCTTAATCCATCAGATTAATTTGCTCACAGTATCAAATAGTTTTTTAACAGACTTTGAGATTCTGCTCATTTTTAACACTTTCAGATTGCTGTAGAATTTATGGTGATAGGTTTCCTTAAAATACAATGCCCTAGAATCACAGGGTGCGCGATTCATGGAGGTTTCTACACCAATGAAGCGCCTAACTCCACTACTAAATTTCGTTTGCTGCTATTTGATTGATAATAAATAAGTTTGGTACACACTGATGAGCATACCCTCTGCAGTGACGCCTAAGAAACCCTCTTCAAAATTAATATCAAAATTCCATTATTGTGAATAAAAAGTAAGGTTTTCTTTATTATTGCAATAGACACCCATAAGCATTACCCAAATTTGTAACAATTTAAATAAAATAAACAAGTTTAACTTTTTTTGGAACTCAATTTTTTTGTGTTAGATTTATTAAAAAAATCTTTTAATGTTATTAATGTAAACAATTGTAAGTTGAAACTTTATATAAAAGTGCAAGATTGTTGCTATAAAATAAATTTCAATAAATCTTGCTTCTATGATTATTAGTTTAGTAGATGTGACCCTTCAAATATATAGAACAAATATATAGAACAGAAAAACATAGAAATGTAAGTTGAGCCATTCCTTATCTGCTAGATGGAAAAAAGAAGAAGAAGAAGAAGAAGAAGAAGAAGAAGAAGAAGAAGAAGAAGAAGAAGAAGAAGAAGAGAGAAAGAGTCATTTATGTTCAGAGAACATATTTACATATTTTCCTCAAAGATTGAACTGGTAACATCACATGCCTTATCAGCTTACCAAACTGGAGATTACATATTTTAGTTTGAATTTACGCGATAAACACTTATTCCAATAAATGAAGTCTCAAAACTAAAATATATCAAAAATTTGCTTTAGAAATCTTGAACAAGAAGTGTATTCACCCTTCGATACAAATGTTAAAAAATACACTTAGTGAAACTTACATGCATCACTGCACCTTGATCATACCCAATAAAAATGTAATCCATCCTAGCATGTTCTGCATCTTGAGGAAGAAAATGTGGCATCTCATAATGTTGGCGCATTTCAGACAATACATCTGGATGACAATTACTCCTGTAAAATCACAAAATGACAGCAAGATGTATATTAATGGTTAAACAATTAGCAAGAACTTTGACTGGTCTTAGATATTAAATGACTTCTACTTTGAATAAGGCATAAAGACTGAATTAATATTTCAGATGTCCGATAACACCTGTGCCTTATCAAACAAAAACAACTAGGCTACTTGAGGGACATATACACACGTGATGGAAACAAGTAAATAACAAGACATATGAGGTTTTAACAGAAGGACATTTCAAAGTAAATTATTATATCTGAATGTTCTGAATATTAAGAGAGAAGTCAAGAATCTGTGAAACAATAATACATTATTTGTCAGTGGCATGCTACCTACTTTTCAACAAGTAAATTGGTGTGGCCAACAGAGAAGCAAGACCACTACATTAAAATTCAAGAAACTGCATTCATGACACCTTTTAGTATTCATTGAAAGTAATCACTATAGAGAGCGGATTTCTATGATCTTTTGCACAGTTTTGTCCGTTTCTTCAGGGCACAGCTAAGTGAAATTTCCGAACAGTTGGTCAGTATTGGATGCTATGCAGGCCAACATGTTAGTGTATATTTGTTTATATTTGGCCGATTCTTCCTGTTGGTGCATGTAATTATAGGCACATGTTTTGCATATTTCATTAAAATAGCGACCTATCTCTAAAATATTTCTAGAATCTACTATTAATTTGTGAATGTTCATTGATTAGAATGAGCTTGTCACAGTTTGCGTTTTTTTTCTTCTTCTTCTTTTCCATAGCTGATAAAATACTAGTGCAAATGTAGGATATTCCTTGATATATATTTTTTTTTAAAATCAGGCAAAAGAAATGCACCAAGACATACAATGTACTTTACTAAGGTGAATATTTACTTCAATTATTTCTCCTGCAAAGTTAGATTGTATTATGTTCGCACAAAAATATTTTTTTTTCAATTATGCATGCTTCTCTTGAATTTTATCATGAAAGGTTTATTTATGAAATGACTTATTGTTAATTTTTATTGCATAATAAAGCACATATTTAAGATATTTTAAGTCATAAATGTATATTTTTAAAAGCATATTTCAAGATTTTTACAGCATAAAAATCCTCTCTAGTAATCACAAAATTAAGGTTTAAAATGATTTCTCGAAAAACTTAACATATTTTTCAATTATTAACAACTATTATTACCAATACAATTAGAAATTGAGTAGATGGAACTTGAAAAAGTTCTGTACATAGTAAAGGACACTAAAACTGTATACTAGTATAACTGTATACATAGTACTGAAACTAAAACTGACTAATATGTAAAACTAAAACACTCAAACATTCTAATAATTCTAGCTTAGATTTGTGTGATAAATTGTATTGAACATCATATACTCTATTGAATTTTTTCAGATTTTGCACGATTCTGACCACCTATGGTAAGATGTGGTATTAGCTCAATTTCCATTTTATTTATTGAAGTAAGAATGCAAGCAAATGAGTCAAACAAAATTAACGTAAATATTAGTCACTTTCCTTATCTCAAAATTACTTTTGTCAATTTATAAAACAAATTAACTTTTTACGCTATTTTGTTGTTAATAATCGATTCAACACTATCTTTAAAACTTCAGCAGTTATCTGTAAGTATAATTGATTGATTTGATGCAACTTCTTCAAAAATATGTAGTACATGGACTGCTGAAGGGAATTAATTTGGAATTGTTTATATTCAACATTAATGATTTACCATAAATAGTAAAACAATGTCCCTCATATTTACCTCCCACATATTATGTCCTCATATTTACAATTGACACATTGATTTAACTACATTATAGTAATGAAAAACTACATCTGAAATGTGACATGTGATAAATAGAATAAATTTGGTTAATGAATTCTTGAGTGAGTATGAATTTTTTTGTGTATTGTTGGTAAAACAAAAAATTACTTCATGGAGCAACAGAATTAGGGAAGAAGTTGGTTAAACTAGAGAACATAGTACCCTTGAGAGAACCAAGCAGTAGAAAGGGGAGGGGGGGAGTTGGGAAGGGGAAGGGTAGAGAGGATAGCGAGGAGGTAGAATCTGATTCTCCATAAAAAAATTCACTTTCTGATATGTCACCTGGATAATCCTAAACCCATTCATACACACAACAACTTAGGCTATACATTTCTCGTAGCTTTTTTAACAGCAACTCCCTATTAAAATTGTTTCAAATACCCATTTAAAGCTCCCACAACTCAGCCACAATCCCCTCACCCTTTAAAAAGCACACAACCAAACAATTACCTTTTGTAATTCTAACACTGTGCAATGTATTTCTCAACATCCAGACTGGGATTCCGTTAAGATTATTTCCCCACATGTACTGTAAAATAGGGTGACTTGGTGTGAAGGTAATAACTTTACACAACTTATGGTCTTGTGTACTATTGTGCATTCTATTTGTCAGAAAGTTAACTTGCTGTTAAGCTTGGCAACAATGGAAGTGCAATGAACATTGCTTGCAGCGACTTCAATATTACCAGTTATTTATTAGGATCAATTGTTGGATGCTTGGTATTTTGTAAGTTTTCGTGTTCATCAACATTTTGCACTTGCATTTGACAGAGAAAAGGTACATTACTATTCTTGTCCCATTATTACTGAAGATGTGATAAGATAATATCTTTGACCCTGATGAATAAGGTGATAAGCCATAAATGCTTAAATTTTGCAGGAGAGCCAAAAAAATAATATTCAGCTGATGCTGTAAATCAGGGATTAATGATTTCAAACAAAACCTACACACAAATAGTTTGAATATCAGTAATCTCTAATTTACTTCAGTTGAAAGTAGTTTTTTGCTCTCCTGTAAAATTTAAGCCTTCATGAATTACCAATTTATTCACGACGGTCAAAGATTTAAAAAGGGGAATTTGGGGGGTTTAACATTTTCTTATTTTTTAGGGGCTTTCACAGTTTTAATTGCCACGGTATTACTTGAAGAAGGCCAAGGGAGAACTTAATCCAATTATTCTCATGAAACCTCTAAAAGGTTCCTGATGAGATAAGAAGAAAGAAAATATCAGGACAAGAAGAAATGAAGAAACCAGACATTCATCGCAACATTTTAATGAGGAAGCAGAGACCTGAGACTGACATTCATGCCCTTCTATAGAATATAATAATTGCTTGATTTCATGTTGATTTCAAATTTTAAAATTTGCAAACCTATTTTTGTGCAAAGTAAGGTTAAAGTTTAGTATACGGTACACGCTTAGAGAAGCGTGGCGGCGGGGCTTAAGCCCTAATTACTGTACGTGCTCTAATAGAAATGAGTAAAACTTATGAATAGGAGATTTTCATGGTTCGCCCTTTATATGCTTTGTTAAGGCAAGTTTTCTCGGTTCACTTGCCCGGATCCAAGTCACGGAAGGGCTCGGACCTTCCGCCCTCGCGTTCACTATAAACATCCTTGAGTCTATCAAACGCATAATTATCCATTCACTTTTATAAGAAAGCACTTTTAAAGAAGGTCTCCAAAATTCTAACTGCCTAGTTAATGCCGGAACGGCGTAAAGTGCCAGTTTAAACGACTTCCTTAGGTTGTACCGTACACTACATTTCAGCCCAAAGTAATCCTAAACCATGAGTTTCATATGTTTTAAAACGTTCTTTGACTGGTAAATAAAACTTTTCAAGTCAAACAGACTGTTGTCAACAAAAGTGTTTCTTATTCAATTATTGTCTTATCTCAGAAAATAAAATTGTTTGACACATCAACAATATGAATAAGATTTACTGAAATAAAAGAGGGATCTTAGTGGTACGTCCCGTTTACTGCCTCTCATATGTGGGAAAAGATAGTGGCACCGAGTCACCAGCCCCCTTGGTGTCAATTTTTAATACTTTCTCTCCCTCCAAACATTGAAACTTTGAAGCTATGAATTATATGCAAAATAGAAGCGTATTAAATACATAAAAACCAGGTTTCTTGGCACAAAGTCATCCCATTTTATGGCACTTCATTAATAAATGATTAATAAAATGCCGAAGAATTAATAATTAAACACAGCTCTCTTTGATTTAGTGTGCCTACACTTGAACATTAGACATTTATCTCAAGCAAACCTCCAAAATTTTAATATTGAAAATTATGGAACACGCTCAAATGACTGATTCAAGAATCCTAAAATACCTTGGACATGCTTTACAAGCATTGCAATCAATATGTCAGAGTGAAACTTTCATGGATTGTCAAAGTTGCACTCTGACATATTAATTGGAATGCTTGTGAAAATCAGAGGATTAGATATTGATTGGAATGATCGTGGCAATGAGAGGTGGGGAAACCTATCTTAGTCCTAACATCCACTATTATCCTAGGTAGGTGTACTAAGCAAAATCTTCTACAGAATCACCTTAGAATAAAGATTTAAAATATTACAAATATTATTGTACTTACCAACCAACATACCATGGCTTTTCACCTTCCTTCATCTGGACTCTTGATTCTGACATTGAAAAAACGTCTTCCAACGATTTAAATTCAGTTTTAAAGGTTAAAATTTGACATTCATCTTCTACGCTCTCATATGCACCGTCAATTTTTTCATAAATTTCCTTTAAAAAACTATAATTAAAAGAATGCATGGCTGGCCAATGGTTCGCGGCACCCTTCATTAACATTGGCCTCGGTGAATATGCATATTCCTGAAACTGATTTCTTGTAATATTTTCGAATATCAACACTTCAGACACGTTCCTACAGGTGTTACAGTCTGTAACTGGTCGTGTTGCTTCCCATACGAAATAATTATTCGGCACTAAGCATCGGCTTCCGAGAGTCCTTTTCATAATAGATTCAATTATAGGTATTTTTATTAAAATACTTAAACAAACAGCGGCAACAAGCGATGCTATCAGCAAGCAACAGGGCGTTAAATAAGTATGTTTCTGAGATTTCTGAGGTTTTCGCCTCCAACATACTTTCTGCAAATCTTCAATACTTACACCACAATTGAGCAACTTTTCGTTTAAAAAAAGATATTTTTCATACAATTTTTTAACCTTTTCTTGGGCATCATAATAAGATTCACTATTGTTATTAACCGCCATTTTGCTGTTGCCAAACAAATGACAATCACTCCTTTCCTTTGGCGCGACTGACGAAGAACAACGCACTAAAGCAGTGAATGAAACCATCAATGGAAAGATATAACACTCAGATAATGAAAGATGTTTCTATCCTTCTGTAACATGATCATGGGATGTAATTGCTAAATTTTTTGTCACTATATTTATTCTATCCGCATGCATTTTTTGAAAGGTCAATAAAATAACTTTTATTCCAAAGTTTAAATTATTTGTTAATAGTCTTTGATATATATTTCATTTGGCAGGTTTTAGCACTAATTTCTCTATGGAGTGTTTACGCATGGCGCCTTGTTTTTATTCTTGTTTATAGTCGTGAAGCAGATATGGGAATTAAGCGGATAGTTACCTTTTGTCAGGTACAATAATAGTGGAATTTTGCTGCGATCTTGGCCGTGCATGAAATATATCCGTATTGTGCGTGTCGGTGGCTGTGTGACATTGCAATGCGACCTAATGTTATAAGAAATATTTATATTCCAGTGTCATTTTTTACCTTCTATTATAACCTCTTATGTATGAACCACGGATTTTGTAAACGCTTTTATAAAGTCAATAAAATAAATTATTATCCAATATTTTGAAGTGATAGTGTTGCATTATTACAATGATTTTGAATACTATGTGGCCTATGTTACTTGATATATCTCGAGATGAGTGCAAGAGAATTCTCAGGAGATTAGGTGAGTCTAAAACTGATGAATGTATTAATAATTAATGTGGCTTTACGTTCACATATATTGTTGTCTTCCTGTGATACAGAACTAGAAGCGTATAGTAGCATAGTGTCAGCATTACGTGCTCAAGGTGCTTTGAGTAAAGAGAAACGTAAAGTTCTACAAGATTTAGCCAGCATTCTCAACATTTCATTAGAGAGGCACAGAGCAGAAGTGAGAAGAGCAGTTAATGATGAAAAGTTAGCCACTATTGCTGAACAGTAAGTTGTTTTAATTTAATTAGAATTTACTTAGGAATTTTTTGTAAGAGTTGTACAACTATTTTGAAACGTGAAAGAGCTTTGTCAGTTTCTTTATTGTACTGATAGTGCGTTAAGGAATTCTCCTTACTCCTTGGATTTCATTCCCAATGAAATTCTGTATTTGTAGGCTGATCTTTTCTCCAAACCAACCGTGGTACAAATGACAGTTATATGTAAAGCATTGGAGTGATTTGTAATATTAGTTGCTTCAACTTTAACATTACAAAATTTTGTTTTACCTGTGATTTAGTATTTGATTTTTGCGTGATCTTCACCTGCCAAACCTGAGTGGAATTGAGATTTGAGGTTTGAAAATGAGGAATCAACAATTTCTGCTGAAATGTCTAGCTTCAAATTGTCGTGCTGTGGTTGATTGTCATTTTTTTAGTATCTTAACTTAAGAAATGACTCTAAACAAAACCTTGACTTCATTATTTTTATTATTATTATTGTTGTTGTTTTAATTTATTTCTCTGACTTTTTGTGAATTCCAAATCTTTCAGGAATTGAATCTTCTTGCTGTTGCTGGCAGAGAGTGGCTGTGCTTGAGATATCACTGTATAACACTGTTTTCAGTTGAAAACCCAAACACAAGGATGACATTAAGCAGAATAAAATTTTCCTTCATTCTTTCTTTGAATTGTTTCTTCCTTTCTTTCTGAGTGTGTTTCTAATTTTATAAACAAAATATGTGTTAGTTACTTATGAAAGTTTTTAATGTATTGTAGTTTTTAACAGAAGTTGTTGCAAAATTATTTAATACAAACAGTTTTGCAGAAGTCATGATACAGAAGTAAGATATGAAATGAATAATTGAGAAATAAAATAAATTAAAAATAAGTTATCTTAAAATAATTATTTGATGCACTTTAATTTATACATCTTTATATTTTATTTTGAAAATAAATAATTCATTCAGGCACTAATGTAGGTACTATTAGTCATGTTTCTTTCTTTCCCCCTTTTTGCTGATCTGAAATTTATTTCATTTTATTAAGCATGTAGATGTTTTGCATAGTTAAAAATAAACATCTTCATAAACTTCTTGAAATAAAGAAATGGTGAGAGAGAATGAGAACAATTTTACCTATTAAATGTATACTATTTTAATATAATGATATTTTGTTGTTTCCAACAGTATGGCTGGGCCAAACACGAGCACAGAATGGGCAATAGAAGGTCGCAGACTGATCCCTTTAATGCCTCGACTTGTTCCTCAGACAGCTTTCACGGCCTTGGCAAATAAAATGGCTAACATCACTGCTACAGAAAATGCCAAGCTACCTCCACCTGAACAGACATTAAGATTAAAAGGTTTATATTTTTAATATTATGTGCATTTAAGTTTTCCAAATTAGATGTAAAAGTGTGAATCCATCTTTGTTGTCAGTACATGCATTTACATAACTAAACATTGTAAATAGATGATTTTTGAAATGATAACTTGTAAAAATATCTTTACTCTGTATTTTCTAGATTGTTTTCTTATGTGTTAGGGTCTAATGAAGAGACAATGTCTTTGGAAATGCCTCGACATGATACAATAGGCACTGCCAGGCATTTGGGAAGCCCTCCCGGCTCACAACTTCACTCTGGAAAGCGAACAGAGAAGGAGGAGGAACGATCTGTGAAACGTAGATGTCACTCTTCATCTTCAGAGTACATATCCCCTGGACCAGGTGTAGCTATATCTCCACCCCTGCGAGCCAAGGTTAGATGCTGCTTGAGTTGGGAAGAATCAATTATTTATTTATAAATAATTCATAATGAATTATTTTCAAAATTAAGTGCTCTCTTTAAACTGATACAGAATTGTGCCAGGTTATGTTATTTTTGTAATTGTTAATTCTTTTCTAGATGAGTGCCGTCACTCCACCATCACAAATTTTTAATCAACAACTGCAAAAATTGCCAAGTCAGCCACAGCATTTAGTGCAACAGCAATTGCAAGTACCTTCACAACCGCCAACACATTTCCAATCGGTTCTTACCCATCACTCCCAGAGTCAGCAGAATGAACCTCTCTCAACTCAATCTCAACTGTTGCTTGCACAAAAGACTCAACCAACAGAAACATCACATTTCCAAACCCAGCAGCTGCAGCAAAAACAGCCACTGCAGCACCAGCAGAAAGCACAGCAACATCAAATACCAAAACATCCAAAGCCCTCATCACCATCATCCCCACAACAAGCCTCAGCCCCTTCCCCGTCTTCTCCTTCTTTTCCTTCTCAGCCAACAGCAGCAGCTACAACAACTGCAGCGGCACCACCGCTGCCAGCAGTAGTAACAACAATAACATTAGCAGCAATAACAACATCTACTACTGCTTCAACAACAGCTACACTTCCACCAAAAACCTCACCACCATCAACTGCACCAACTTTATCATCATTTCATCAGCAGAAATTGCAGCAAGAGCGACAACTACAATCTCAGCAGTCACAACAGCAGCTACAAGTGTCAAGTGTTAGCCAGGAAGTGAAGAAGGAGCTGCAGCAAGTGAATGTCCAGCCTATGCAACAATTGCAAAACTCGACTACTATTCAAATGACCCCAGTAAAAATGCAGGAAGTGTCAGTGGGTGTTCAGGCACCTCAAACTGTTCCTGTACAAGCGCATGCCCCTAGTCACTCAAGAGTGATTTCAGGTGGAAGTGGTCCTGTCAAGATCACTTTCACATCCTCTGCAGGTCGCTCAGCCCAGCTCAGCAACATTGCTACCCCTACAACCACTACTCTCACAACCACCTCTCCTGCACCAACAACCCAAAAGGTGATTTTTGTCTAAATGTTTCTAAATAATTGTGCATGGGGAGAAGGAAAGGCTTGGCTAATAAGGATCTTGCATTAATGTTTTGGAGGGAGAGAGTTGAAAAAATTAAATTTCAAAAGTTGTGAGGTAAGCTTGTTGAGATTTGGTTCTTACTCATCACTCCGAGTCAGCAGAATGAACCTCTCTCAACTCAATCTCATCCACTTGATGATTATTCCTTGTACCTTTGATCCTTTATGCCATGTGCCAATTCATTTTAAGTACAAATCACTTTTCGTTTAATATTTTCATGGTTTCAAAATACATGAGTAATGGAAAAAGTACTAGCTGGACCCATGCAAAAACTCTGTACTTTGTAAATAATAGTTTTAAATGTGAAGATAGCTTCATTATAGATCCTAATCTCAAATGGCAAGTCCTTTAACTGAGTGTTACAGGCCCAGAACTGCATAAGAGTAACCGTTCTAATAATGCTATGCATTGAGATTCAATTGCACTTTGGTATTCCCTTTATTTTTAATGTGAAGGATTATTTCTGTTCTTATCCTTCTATTTAATTTTAACTACATTTCAGTCTTCAAAGTGCTCCTGCTGTTGCCTCCTCTTTAGTGGTCTGCCTCTATCTCTGATCCCTCTTGGTTCCAGATTAATTTTGGAAATTTGTTGTTGTTCATTCTCAAAGGTGATCTTTCCATCACCTTTGAGACTGATATATATCTCTACTACTAAACATTTGGTTATCAATTCCTTTCTGTTGTCTATATTTCTCAGTCTGTCTCTTCTTGTGATTCTCACTAGATGGTTTAGAAATCTCATATGTGCCGCCCGTAGTTTTTGATTGTCTCTTTCATTATCCATGTTTCAGAGCCATACATGATTCTAGGTTTAGCAGCTTTTTTGTGAAGTTTTCCAGGTCCATGTCTCTGCCAGTGGCTCTTAATTGTACCACATATTCTATTGTAGTTATTAAGTTGGTTTTCTATGTCTTCCTGAGTTTGGTAGTATACATTTATGATATTTCCAAGGTATGAAAATGTATTTACTTATTCTACTAATTGTTCATTTATTACTATTTTGGCTCCTTTGTTCCTTTCCTTGCATTCAATTCTTCTAAGTTAAATAAATGAAAACGTAGTATAGTGACTTAGTTGAATAAATTACTCTCAGTTTGTGGACTATTACAGAAATTCTAAGAACAAGTTATTCGTTGTGTCATATTGTACCATATTTCTTACTACCAAATTTGGGAGTATTATAACCTCAAAATTCATACGTTAATATATCATGACAACATCATTGACATTTTTCCTGCTTCATCTTAATCTTTGCTCTATTGATGTTTTAGTTATTCTAGAAAAGAAAATAATTACTTGAAAATAATTAGAACATTATAAACAATCAACATCCACTTTAAAATGTGTTCAGCCTTTGAAAACTAGTGCCCCATTACATGTTCTTGACAAACTAGAATAGATTAGAAACCCAAATAAAAACCGCTAGTCGCACTGACTTGGCCTAAAATTTGTGTCTACCTAATGATCTAAATGCATAATGTTAGTTTATACAATATTTACTGTTGGATAAAGAGGATTGGAGTAAAACGGGTGTCCAACTTGCAAGGCCTCAAGGGCTATAACCAAATCCTTTAATAAAGTTGCCAGTCATATTTACAGTACTTCTGTGATCCTCTCCTGAATTGCCCAAATTGTTGATCTCAGCAGTTGGCCTGGCTGGTCTGAAATGGGGGATGCATGTATCCATGTGAGATACCAGGCCATACCATGCTTAATCCATGGAAACACATTGGGATGATTTTGAATTCCTGAATTTACTAGAAAATATCTTATATCTAAAATTACCCTGTTTTTACATTAAGGGAGTATTGATCCTGTCAGGGCGTGGATGCTAGGCACACAATGTTCTCCCCTGTCATGGATGCAAGGGATATTCACTTTTGCAGGCCACAATGAATGGCACCGCAGGCCGCAGTTGGATAAACCTGGACTTGAACATAACTTTTCTTGTCTTGTGATTATGCACAGGTGATCATTGTTCAGAGCTCTGGGCCAGGGGGGGTTGGGCCTCCGAGCATCCTGCAACGCTCGCTCACTGTTCCTGTGGTGAAGAGCTCCCCAGCGGCGGCTGCTGCAGCAGCTGCGGCTGCTGCTGCTGGAGGAGGTCCCAATGCAGCTTCTCGGGCTTCTCTTATCATCTCAGGCCCTACTGGAAGCCCTCCAGTTACTCCTACAACTATAGTCACAATATCTACCAATCCGGTCAACACTAACAATGTTACTGCCACCACAGGTATGGCCTTTGTTTCTTATGACTTCCAGAATTGTCGTTTATTAATGCTTTTAAATTGATTCAAATATGACTTTCATTTTGTATGTTTAGGTTAGGGTTAGACCATTACTATTTAATTGAGTTACATTCTTTATGTGCATTTGTTTGCTTGAGAACCATTGGGAACAAACCATTGCTGGCATTGTACATTATCAGTCATTTGTTCTGAATGTTAAAGTTTAACTGAAATGTGTGAAATCATAAGAAAAACATTTTTTATCATTTCTTTAATCACCGCATGCCACTGGCATGTCCCCTGTGCTGACTCTGGCAGGGTATGGGACCCATTGAGTTGAGCACTTTAAGCTGTTGTGTGATGACGTCAGCGGCTGAGGTGTATTAATCTATATTTCCTACTTCCCACCTTTCTTTTCACATAAATTCTTCACATAATAGTGGTGCCCTGCCCTGTCATATTGGTAGAATAATGCCAATACAATAAACAAGTCTAAATCTATAAAATGGTTTTAAGCAGTATTGTTGATGTAAGAATCATAAAGAACACCAAATATGAATGAACACACTAACACCAGAAAACAAAATAATTGCCTACTGAGTATTTCCTTCAAAGGATGGACTTTTGGGATAAGAGAAGAAAGATTTATGAGAGTTTCAAATTGTTTTTTTGAGAGGATTGCCCTAGCCTCTCCTGTGCTCAAACCAAACAATATCGAAAATCCTAAGCTCAAACCAACAACAAGGAACTGTTCAAACACCAGAAAAATGGCCCCAACTATTTGCAATGAAAGGAAACTGAAGACCCCAGATGTAGTCCCAGTTGTAGAAGCCAATTTTCTTGAAACAAAAGAATCCAAACACGAGTTTAGATCGTACATGTACGTACATAGGTCAGAGGCACTGCCCATTGTGGATGCACAAATACGTTCATAGCACAGATCCAGCTGGATGTACGAGCACAGTTCAGGAAAGGTTAATGAAGTATGCATTTTTTACCTTCTCTTCCTGTCTTGTATGGATGTAACAAAATTAATACATTTATGTATGTGTATACGTACAAGTACCAATAGCTGTTTGCGCTTGACTCTATGTTAATTATATTTGCAAGTAAATAAAAAATTATTCTGAAATCAATATGTATGTATACTTTTATAAGTATATAATTCTAAAGAGAGAAAGGTTAAAACTGTTACAGAAAGAAAAATAAAAAAAAAAACAAATAGAAAAATTGTTGTATGTGGGAAACATCATTGGACAAAATTCCTATGATCAAGAAAGAAAAATTCAAAAACATAATGGGGTACATGGAATAATCAAGAGAAACTTAAAAACAGATATGACAGCAGAGACAAAACTAAGAATTAACAACGTAACATCTAAGCCAATGTTAATGTACGGATCAGAAACATGAACCCTAAAACAAAGAGACTGTCAGAGATTAGAAGCCATACAAATGAGATTTTTCCAGCACCTGGTAGGAATTACACTTTTAGATCGACAAAGAAACAGAAACAAAGAAATCAGAAAAAAAACAACTCAAAACAAAATATGTGGTGGATGACATTAAAGAGAATCAGAGGAGATGGCTTCCACGTGTGAATAATGCAAGGGGAAAGATTTCCTAATGCAGTTTTAGAGCATAAACCATAGGGCAAAGAAATATAGGAAGACCCAACAAAAGATGGATCAGGAACCTCTGTAGGAATAATCATCTGATCTACTGTGGTTTAACAGGAACAGGCATCAGACCTATCCTACTGTTCATGATGATGATGATGATAATTCTAAAATATGACTGAACAGGATTGTACATAACATCATCTCAATGCAGAGTAGAAAATATTACAAGCACTGTTGAGATCACAATTGTCTTAGAAGATACTAGGTATTCGGGGGGCTGCTTTTATAACTCTGCTGAACAAAATGTTCTTTTTTGGAAGTGACTTGTGCTATGGTTTTCTGAGTTTTGTTTTCTTTCTTTTTTAATAAAAATGTAATGCTCAAGAATATCCTTTGTGCAATCTTGGTATTGTTGTATGTGGGTGAATATATAGTGTCCATAGGAGGTGTGCCTACAACAGCGTACATCACTTCACCTGGGAGCATCCCTCACATCCGACCCAAAGCTGTTCAGCTGCCATCACGCATGCGCCCTCGAGCAGGATCCATTGTCATCCCAGTCACACCAAATCCTCTTGGAAGTACAGGCAATCTTCCTGGCGTTACCCTGAAAACTACTCCAGTGCAGAGTTCTCGATCTGGTGTCCATGTCAAAACAGAATGTAGTAAGTAATTTGATACATGTTTTGTGAATGAAAATCTCAAATAGAAAAATAACATATTTTAGAATGATATAAAAATTTGGATAATGTAAAATGTGTATTTATATTGAAGCCTAATTTACATCTGAATAAATTAACTAATTTTCTAGATCTCCAATTAACTAATTTTGAAGATCATTTGTTTTAGTCTTTTAGAGTAAAATAGAATAAAATATTTTGCTACTTAGGAATACACGGAATATTTCGGGTGGTAGCGTTTCCTAGGTAGTTACTACAAATTCACAACATAAACAATCAAAGGAACATTACAATATTTACATATTACTTAATACAATTTTACAAGATTAGTATATTAAACCTATCATGCTAAAGCAGACATATAACAATAATAATTTTAAGAAAAATTAATGTTAAAACATTCTAAAATAATTTAATCTAATTTAAAAATTTTTGACATTCTGAGCGAAAGTCTCCAGCACTGTTGCAGGCAATTCGTTTCAATTTGGTACTGTTCTGTTTAAAAATGAGATTTACCTACATCTGTTTTCTGTTTTCTTTGCCAAATTTTAGAACCATGATCCTTCCCTGTGACGTATGCGGGTTTTGATAATCTTGCCCGCACTTTCCCCTACGAACGATCACCTCATATTGTTTAAAGATGTAAGAAGTAGTTACGACCTGAGATAATTTTATAATTTACCTGGATTAATGCTTTGGAGACTTATTCAAATCTCCTTCCACATATTTTGTTTTACTGTGGCTAATGTTCGTAAATTTTACCCAAACATCAATATAGCACCAAAGGCTTTCGATGTAGATGAAAAAAATCAACAAAAAAAAGGTGTTTTAAATATGATAAAACAGATGGTATTTTCCCCGTTCTATTTCCATTTTAATTATTGTTCTTAAATGAGTTAATTTTATTGTTAGGTAGCAAACAATTAATGTGTTAATCATAATCTTTATCGAATGCGAAAAGGAACTAAAAAATAAAGGACATCATGTTTTTGTTCTTTTCCATTTATATACTTCCATTTATTCTTATCCATGTTTTAAAAACATCAATGATTTTTTGTCATCCCTAGCTGTGACAATCATCCAGTTCAACTTGCAATATACAAATTTTGTGGCATAGTTACACTTCAGCATTCTACACAATGTAGACTCCAGTAGTACCCATATTTTGTTAAAATAGAGGCTTATCAAACATTTCATTATTTCATAGAATCTCTTTATTTGTGAGTGTTTGTTAATTTGAAAGACCTTGTTACAGTTCGTGTTGATTTTTCTTCTTTTCTATGGATTATGTAATACTTGTGCAAATGTAGGTTCTTGATATCATGTTTTTAAACCAGGAATAAAAAATGCAACAAGACATACTATGTGGATGTTTACTTCAGTTATTTATTCCGTGAAGTAAGACAGATATAGATCTTTTCATTTCAAGCATACTTCTTCTGAGTTTTATCATGAAAGGTTTATTCAGGAAATGACATATTGTTAATTTTAATTGCCTATTAAAGTGTATATTTTAGAATTTGTAGGTCGTAAATGCATATTTTTAAAAGCATCTTTCAAGAATTTTTAGGGCATAAAAATCCTCTCCCTAGTCATAACACAGTTTTGAATTTTACTTGGGCTGCATACCCTTTAATTTAGTCGATGATGTATTTGCTCTATTGTGAAATGTGTAGTAGTGTTCTTATAAAATAAAAATGTTTCACTTTTAGGTGGAATGAAAATTGTTCCTGTTGCTGCTGGTTCAGGAGGCACCACTAAAATTCTGCCTAAGCCTTCATTTGGATCTACAGGTGGTCAGAGTCCAGTCTATATGATGAGTACTACTACTTCCAGCATTACTATGGTGACACGTACCATTTCTGCTTCATGTATGTTGCACTATGTTGGGTAACTGATCAGTAGTATTGTCTGCTAGGAACTAACTTCGTTATCAAATAGTTGATACAGTTTACTTCATGGAATGTAGATTCAATAACTATTGAATTTCATTAAAATCTTTATTTTTTGGGTTGGGAGCTGTTTCACGGAATAACGCCAAGTACTTTAGATGATTCTTGATCTAAGAATGATAATAAAAAAACAGAAGGTAATAAAAATAGAAAGAAGAAAATAATAAAAAAAAACAAAAGGTTTGTTGTAAAATCTTATAAAGTAAAGACAAAAAGATTGCCAATTTGTTCACGTGTCTTTATATCAATTTAACTTTACCTATTTTCTTCAGTAAAACTAATGTCATTATGCGAGGAGGGCTATGGCTTCAGGTTTTTCGCTACTAGTTAAATAATATTTAATATAATTGATGCTAGAGTTTTAGTAGTGAGAGAATTTTCAATACAATGTTTGATAGATGTGAATTAATAGATTTTGATAACTCCATAATCATATTTTTAGGTGTAAGAGTTTTTCATTAACCTTCAGCTGGGCAACGGGGGTCTATTGGACCCAGAAGCAAAAATTTCTATATTTTACGTGAAGACTATTCAAGGTGTTAGTTTAGTTTTTTGTGACTAAGTTTGCTATGTTGTTTTTCAAGTATTCCCGCAACCATTTTACGTAAGTGTAACTGAATAATAAATTTTTTTTTAAATTTTAGCCGCAACTGGGCAGGCGGGGTCCATTGAACTAAGGTCTCTCAATCTGCGTATAAAATTGCGTTTTCTGGTTTGGTTTGATCAGTTACTTGATGACTGCTTCGTGCCCAAGGGGTGGAAAGATGATGGGTTGCGCAAAATCAGTTCATCAGGATGTTATTACATGTGATAATCGACGCCTTCGTAGACATTGTTGCTGCTGCATGTAGATTATGTGGGGAAACTGCACAGCGATAGGCACGTTACTGACCCTGACAATGTCAGAAAACATGAGATCATATGACTTTTTTTATTGTTATTGCAAAGAATTTGATTCTACACAAAATGTAAGGAGCCATGCATGTTTTTGGGGAAGAAGCAGCTTCCACTTCTCAGAAAATATATAACAATGCCTAAAAATATGTCATTGGTGCTCTTGGGAAAGAAATAGGAAACGGAAATGAAGAACCGTTCAAAAGCTGTGTGTAATGAGTATAACCAGAGTAACAGTGTGTGTGATCTGTAACAAGAGAAATACTGTTAAAAAACGAATGTAAATGATTTTGAAAAGTTTTGTTAAATTAAACAAATATATTAGAGAGTTCTGTTCCATTATCCACATCCAAAAAGCCCACATGTAAGCATAATCCCATCACACACACTCCTGGGTCCACTGGACCCTGCCTGCCCGGTTGCATCTCTAAAATTGGTTGCCCAGAAAAAGGTTAAATTTTAGATCAGCATTTTCGGAAAGGATCCTGATATGATATTTCAAGCTATGAAAATAATTCCATTAACTGACAATATAAGTGAGAATAAAATTAGGTGGAGGTTAGTGCAGGGGTAGTGCAATGATGTTACAATACAGCTATTACATTTCTTCAAATTAATAATATCTACCAACACACACTACTTACAATTCCTGCACATCTAGCACATTTTAATACAATTGACGTGCTGATTCACAATTGACCTGACAACTTGACCTACCTCTCAATACTGGACATTTGCATACTTAGCCAATTAACTACAACATTGTGCTGTCATAGCTTCTGACTTCCGTGTTGCCTAGGATATAGTACTGGCATTACCAAATGACCATGAGCACTCAACCACCATCTAATATTATTTGTTGTAAATCTAATTGGTTAATTTTTTTTAACATACAGCCATGGGTGGGGTCTGTTGAGAAATTTCCAAATTCTTTTTCTTTCTTCAAGTAAACTAAAAAGTAAAATTGAGAAACTGTTATAACACAAAAATAAGAAATTCATATTTTACATGATTGCTTGTGCATATTTTTAAATATTTGAACACAGTTTTCCAATAACAAATGGAGCATAAATTGGGCATTTAAGAATGGACCTAGGTAAACATATTGAAAATAGGCTTATGGTAAATTATGGGATGAGATATACTGAATTTGTTTATAAATAAATTGGTGTCCCAGGAGGAAATGTCAATATTTTAGATGATAACATCTGGCCAGTACTTTTGATGGCTTGCCCGTGATGATAACAGTACTGGCCATTGTAAGCAAGAAAGTTTATATTGTAAGCTTACAAGCAAAATGAGCCAACTCCTATGAATGTTCTTTTTAAATATTTGAGTTTGAAAAGAAGTGAAAAATCCGATCATGATCAGTTCAGATTATTAATATGAAAACTATTATTTTCATCACCAGTGTTATTGTGTATTCTTTATTCTGTCTATTCTTTGATTTTTTCCCCTTATGTTTATATGGGCTGCTGAATAAGAATTTGAAGTTTGCCCACAAGAAAATTCCATTGGAATTTGAGTTATAATAAAAAAACATGAATGGTGTTTTTTTTATTATTATACAAATTATTATACAAATTATGCATTAGGCATAATTAATAGTTGAATTTCGACAAAGTTTTGGGCAACTTACCATTAGTGCTGCTAGGTATTGAAATGGCTAATCAGAATCATTTGTGTTTGCTACAGCTATCTGCCTTGCTAACAACTTTATGTGCAAAAAAATAATCAAAGAAGCCAATTCTTTAATTGCAATCTCAATTGTATCCCCAGCCATTGTAGTTCATTCATTACATAGTGAAAGGAGCTATTCTAAGTAAATTTTAGATGATATTTTGCACCTTTCATTTTTGGGATGCCATTTAGGAATCTTATGTTTGCTATGAAAACTTGTGTTGGAATTAGTGATATAGCCATAATACATGAATAACCATTTTTAAATTTTTAGTATCTAAATAATATCAACTGTCGTAAAAAATCATTCTACACTGAAATAAATCTCATAACAGACCTAGAAAGTATGTAATAAAGTGCAAAATAAGATAATTAATAATCACATAATAGTTTCTGTTTACATTTATTGCCTTAAGTACCATTCTAACGTGTGTTGTAAGTACATGACTATATGGGTTGAACATACATTATATTGAGGCAACAATACAAGATGTCTAAGTTGCAACCTAAACACTGTCCACTACCTTCTGCCTTCCTAGCTTTCTTATCTCTCTCAATCTTATCTTGTAAGCATTGTATTTGCTGTTATATACCCCATTGTTGAATTTGAAAGCCCATCTGACAAGTTCCTTATCTCTTTTCAGGTCAATATTAAGAAAATTGCCACAATCTTAAAAGTGTGAAATGAAAAGTAGGTAATCTTAAAAAAGGCTGAAGACTGGGAAAAACAAATAGCAGGTTCCCTCCTGTCGCAACTCTGTGGCCACCCGCTCATGAAAATATCTTGCAAGTGCAAAGAGTGCATGGGAGATTGGATAGCTTTTGTAGGAAGGACAGACCTTTTTTTTTATCAAAGTTGTGCCTTAATTGTTGGGACACCTGCAATAAAAGGAAACCCCAACTTTTAATAACCATAAGGACAATGATGTTGGCCCAGAGCTACCTAATTATTTGCTTGAGACCTCATCAATTTTGGACGGCAAAGATTTTCCAGAAGATACTTGTCTTTGACCAAATAAAATCACATCATCAGCCTGAAAGCGACTGAGAAAAAGTGAACTGACTAATATAAACACATTCAGTAGAAACATGAGCCTATGAATTAATATTTATGGTTATTG